AGTGATGCAGCCACAGTCCTAAACGAAAATTTAAATAGTTGTTAGCAATTACCAGAAGATGCATAGCTGATAAATAAATTGCATCACTGATAAGAAATGTCTGTCGATGCATCACTTATTTACAGCTTACTTGATACGTTTACACATCATAGACGATCGCGAACGCCAATGACTGAGTATAAAACATTCAACATATTAACATTATAACTCAAATTACTTTTATATCGTTGCTGTCTATTTTATGGAACATTTAAGAAAAATCCTGGCGTTGTGAGACATTATATGCAGTGAATTAATCTTCATAATGTTTCACTTGATTACATTTAGTCAGGAATCATGGTTTGGAAAAAGTAACTAGTAAAATATGTACAAGTTATGTCACAGTAACACAATAGCAACTAATGCAAATAGGCAAATTAAAAAAGACTTATTATATCCTCCACTGAATATCACGCCGGCGCGTTCTTCTGAGGAAAATCCAAAGCTTATTTCTCTCAGCGCGTCTTCTTCCAGAAGCGAAGTAGCCGAGATGAACTTGAGGAAAAGTCTCAAGCTTTGTTTGCTGTGAGTTTCAGTTCATTTTAGTAACGCGTTTCAAACAGATATGCGCGAAGAATGAGACGGCTAAAAGCACACCCATATATTTTCTTTATTTTACAAAAGCACAATGTTTTGTTGATATTGTGAGTGTACACAAATAAAAGTAAACCCTTTACAGATTGAAATGCTGTATTACTCTTATATGTACGATCAAGTATGAAGGAGCATTTTAGTTATTTTCGCTGTCAACATTCAAATCTGCAAAAAGTTCCGTCGCCGGAACTGTCGACCCAGTCATAGATCCTCTTCTGACTATTATTAATTCATCATTGTCATTAGGATATGTCCCAAAAACCTTCAAACTGGCTGTTATTAAGCCTCTCATCAAAAAACCACAACTTGACCCCAAAGAACTAGTTAATTACAGACCGATCTCGACTCTCCCTTTTCTGTCCAAGATACTAGAAAAGGTAGTATCCTCACAATTATATTCCTTCTTAGAGAAAAATGGTATCTGTGTGGATTTCCAGTCAGGATTTAGACCGTATCATAGTACTGAGACTGCTCTCATTAGAGTTACAAATGACCTGCTCTTATCATCTGATTGTGGTTGTATCTCTCTATTAGTGCTATTGGATCTTAGCGCTGCGTTCGACACTATTGACAACAACATTCTTTTGAATGGACTAGAAAACTTTGTTGGCATTAATGGAAGTGCATTAGCATGGTTCAAATCGTACTTGTATGACCGCCATCAATTCGTAGCAGTGAATGAAGAGGTATCATATCGATCACAAGTGCAGTATGGAGTACCTCAAGGCTCAGTACTAGGGCCGTTACTCTTCACGCTTTACATGTTACCCTTGGGAGATATCATCAGGAAACACGGTGTTAGCTTTCACTGTTATGCTGATGATACTCAGCTCTATATTTCTTCGCGGCCCTGCGAAACATACCAATTTGAAAAACTAGCGGATTGCATAGTCGATATTAAAAACTGGATGACGAGTAATTTCTTACTGCTAAATTCTGAAAAAAACAGAGGTGTTAATTATAGGACCTAGAAACTCTGCATGTAATAACCTAAAAACAATTTCTAAGACTTGATGGCTGCTGTGTCAATTCCTCGTCATCAGTTAGGAACCTAGGTGTGCTATATGATAGCAATCTTTCCTTAGAAAGCCAAGTTTCTAGCATTTGTAAAACTTAATTTTTCCATCTAAAAATATATCTAAATTACGACCTATGCTCTCAATGTCAAATGCAGAAATGTTAATCCATGCGTTTATGACCTCAAGGTTAGATTATTGTAATGCTTTATTGGGTGGTTGTTCTGCACGCTTAATAAACAAATTCCAGCTGGTCCAAAAGGCAGCTAGAGTTCTTACTAGAACTAAGAAGTATGACCATATTAGCCCGGTTCTGTCAACACTGTACAGGCTACCTATTAAACATCGTATAGATTTTAAACTCTCGCTTATTACTTATAAAGCCCTGAATGGTTTAGCACCTCAGTATTTGAACGAGATCTTGTTACATTATAGTCCTCCACGTCCGCTGTGTTCTCAAAACTCTAGAAATTTGATAATACCTAGAATATCAAAATCAACTGCGGGCGGAAGGTCCTTTTCCTATTTAGCGCCCAAACTCTGGAATAACCTACCTAACATTGTTCGGGAGGCAGACACACTCTGTCAGTTTAAATCTAGATTAAAGACCCATCTTTTTAACCTGGCTTACACATAACACACTAACACGTTTCTAATATTCAAATCCGTTAAAGGATTTTTAGGCTGCATTAATTAGGTCAACTGGAAACCGGGAACACTTTCCATACCACCCGATGTACTTACTACATCACTAGAAGAATGCTACACTAATATTAGTCTGTTTCTCTCTTATTCCGAGGTCACCGTAGCCACCAGATCCAGCCTGTATCCAGATCAGATGGTCACTGCAGTCACCCGGATCCAGTACGTATCCAGACCAGATGGGGGAACAGCACCTAGAGACGACCTCTACAGCCCTGAAAGTCAGCAGAGACCAGGACAACTAGATGAGCCCCAGATACAGATCCCCAGTAAACACCTTGTCTCAGACGGCCACCGGGTCAAGACCACAGGATCCAGTTGAGTCATCTGCACAATGTGAATTTGCTGCAGCCTGGAATTGAACTGCTGGTTTCGTCTGGCCAGAGTAGAACTGGCCCCCCGACTGAGCCTGGTTTCTCCCAAGGTTTTTTCTCCATTCTGTCACCGATGGAGTTTTGGTTCCTTGCCGCTGTCGCCTCTGGCTTGCTTAGTTGGGGACACTTCATTTCCAGCGATATCGTTGACTTGATTGCACAGACACTATTTAAACTGAACTGAGCTGGATGATGACATCACTGAATTCAATGATGAACTGCCTTTACCTGAAAAATTTGTGTTTACTATTGTCACTTTGCATTATTGACACACTATTTTCCTAATTAATGCTGTACAGTTGCTTTGACACAATCTGTATTGTTAAAAGCGCTATATAAATAAAGGTGACTTGACTTGACTTATAATAAATTGACATGTTGATATCACATAAACAGTCTTTCAGAATGCTCTCCGTTACATAGATGCATATTGTATGAATTTGTGAGTGTGGTGGTTATGGAGTGTTGCTGTGGCACGGTGAGTATGATGCTGGGAGGGAATATCGGAGTATACCCACTACAAAAAATTAGACTACACCACTGCCTGTAAGCCATTAGGGGTGCTGTGGAAGATTATTTGTCTGGATGTGCAAGAGAGGGGAAAGAGAAGAGTTTAAAAAAGTTCCTCATGCTCGCTAAACACTCTATTTAAACATTTCTTTTTTTAAATTGTGAGTCCTACTTTTAATCATCAAGTTGCTACAGTAGCTTCACAAGTGATATTGCAGTGCATGCTGGGAACTGTAGTGATACATTACAAACGTTGTTTCATAAAGCCTAAAGCAAGGGTTACACATATTCAAATTTTACTCAAAAATGAAGTTTGAAAGGAAGCATGGAACACAAAATAACGTTTTATTTCCAAGGTGAACAATTGAGACAAACAACTTTCAAAAGATGCAATGTGATGAGATTTAAATACATTTTGTTGCATGTGTTCTATTTGGCATACGTTTTTTTTAAATAGTAGGCACTATTTTTTTTTTTTTACTGAATTATATTTAACAAGCAGTAAACATTCAGCAATATATTCTCTATAAGCTGAACCCACAAACAACAAAAGATCCACAATACAATACAGTTTAATGCTTCCAGCCCTTCTAAAGCTTTGGTCTAAATTCTAATGCCAGGAGAGGGGTTGGTTAGCAACACGTCTGAAGTCTTCTTTCACCATGAAGTCACAATAGAAGCACTGAGGCAAGTGAGCATGGTGTGTGTTTTCATGTCAAGCAAAAGACAGAACTGAAGAGCAGGGAAGGGGGACACACTGGCCCTTAATATATGCAGCACTATTGTGCTGAATCAATGCAGCATGCTAAAATGGGGCAAGTGAGGGAGAAAAACGGTGGAGAGAAAGGAGAAAGAAGACAAGGAGGGAAGCACATGTAATAGTTAGGTCATGAGGATATGTGTCTCGCGGATATCCATCTTAGCAGGCTGCAGGCAAGTTTCTGTCTCTTACTTAGCTTAGAAGCGTTTCCAAAAATATTCACAAAATCAAGAGTCTTAAAACTTGGTATTGAGCTACTGTTATTCAAAAGACTGCACATAATGTGGTGAGGAGACAAATTGCTGGCTGCATCTTTGTCTGAGGGTGAAAACCACACCATGTGCAATGCTGAACGCTGATTGGTGTTTGGATCTGTCAAATGATAAAACATACAAAAATACAAGCTGAAAACAGATAGACTGAGACCACAAAAGGAAAGAAGCCAGTAGAGGTAAGATAAATACCTGTTTTTTATACCTCATTTGTTCTTACATATATTGTGTATTGGTATAAGCACTCTGTAAAAAAAATAATAAAATGAAATTCATAGATGCATTATAACAAAAAAAATAATTTAATCAGCAGGTGAAAACAGTGAGCAGGTGGATCGAAGCCACACCAAAATCTGACATAAAAAACACAATCAAATATAATTTTATTGTGTACTTTTATAATGAATAATATTAATACTGTGTTTGGAACTGAAAGATAAATATTCTTAAATAAAAACAATAGCTTTCATAAAACAATGCGTGCCACAAAATCCTGGTTTCTATATGTGATATATCTATATAATCTTGAAAATATATAGGCCTGCCATTTAAATCCTTAACAGTAAAGTGAACTATAAAGTGTTTATATGTATTTTTGCCACTCTGAATAGGCAAACAGAGTGATGTGTGTATGATAAAACAGCTCACCACATCCTGTAGACATAAACAGCTTGTTTGAACCTTATGAAAGCATTGTCTCACCACATGTAACTCTTTGCAGGTGATGCATCTTTCTATAAAAGTTTAGATGTTTTAACCAATGTGGAATGATGTGTGGAGGGATGAGCTCCTGGACTTTGACCCACCAGTGTGTTCTGGTGCTGTTCATCTACTGTATGCCAATATGTCAAGCCTTTCTTCCCAACTTCTGGTCACGTGTACTAACGTTGTCCTGGGATTCATACACACACCAGTACATGACAGAACAGGCTATAATGAACATCACAATGGAAACTCTGAGCAGAATGATGGAACTTCAACATGATGTAGATATTGAGGAGCTGGTAGGTCTCATGCCAGTGAATATTTCCAGTTGTTGCTTTTTACTGCTGAATGCAATTCATTCTGGTAATGTTTTTTAGAAACATAGTGATGACTTGAAGATTTAGTCTCACTGATTTGTTTGTTCCAGTATACTGGACTTGGTCGAGGGTTTTGGCATGCAATGGGTGAGGTAGCAAGTGCTAATGCTGAGATGGATTTCTTGAGCTCCACATGCTCTGATCCAGTCTACCACTTTGACTCTGAGAGAGTGGAAGGAGCCACACAGATGCTGCGAGAGTTCTGGGGCCAGACAGTTCTGCTGACCCAGGCTAAAGAGTACCAGGGGGCCAGACGTAGCCTGGGTCAGCTTTTCCATTCGTTACAGGTTGTTGTATTCTGACAACATTATATTTATTATTCTGCCAATATTACTCGATTTGTAATATTATTACAGTCACATGTTATATTGGCCATTAGACTTTTGTAGCATTGTAGATTTATTGTTTTTGAACAAAATATTGTTAGTTATTCAAAATAATCAAACTGTTGTATGCATGTTTGTGTCTAGGACTTTTACAGTCACAGTAACTGGGTGGAGATGGGTCAGCAAACAGTGTACCTCCACCTTCTGCACCCAGAAGAGCCTTCAGTTCCTGTAGCCTCAGGTGAGTCCCTCACAAATGATTTTGCAGTAAGTCATTAACCACTTAATGTTCACCATATATGTTTTTTGTTGCTGTTGTTTTCAGAGGACACCCCTACCTGTGCAGAGTGCTACAGATTTAGCTGTTACAGCAATTTGTTGGAGGAAATGATTCATCAGACAGAACCGCTACTGACTACTGGTTATTTCAGCACTTACCCTGTCAAACCACCAGGTATAGGTGTCATCATGTAACTTTAGTGGATAAAATATGTCCTATATATATATATAATTTTTCATGAGCTGAACTGAAAGATCTAAGACTTTTTCTATGTACACAAAAGGCCTATTTCTCTCAAATATGACATCTGTGGCATTGTGCTGTGTGATAAAACTGCACATTTTAGAGTGGCCTTTTATTGTGGCCAGCCTAAGGCACACCTGTGCAATAATCATGCTGTCTAATCAGCATCTTGATATGCCACACCTGTGAGGTGGATGGATTATCTCGGCAAAGGAGAAGTGCTCACTAACACAGATTTAAACAGATTTGTGAACAATATTTGAGAAAAATAGGCTTTTTGTGTACATAGAAAAAGTCTTAGATCTTTGAGTTCAGCTCATGAGAAATGGGGGTAAAAACAAAAGGGTTGCGTTTATAATTTTGTTCAGTATATATATATATATATATACATAAGTATATAAAAATAATTATATTTTGCATAAAGAAAATAAAGCCTATGTATAGAACAATTTTCCTTTCTGAAATTATGACAATTACATGTGACGTGACAATTAAGAACATTTCCCATTTCCATTCTTCATTTCTTCATCTAATTACTGTAATATTTTGAGATTTCATTTGTTTGTTTATTTGTTTGTAATTGTATTCCCATTACTGTAGTACTTTTTTTCTCTTACAGTAAAAATTACCAGAATAATTGTATTTAAATATGCATAAATTGAGACAAAAGATGTAAAAATACTTTACAATTTGCATTATGGTAATTGGGGGAGGGTGCTTAATTGTCATTAAAATAGTGCCACTATGCAAAATATCCTACAAATAATCTTAATTTACTTAACTTTTACTATTTAAAAAATATAATTTCTCATTACTTTGAGTTTGGGGTGAAATATAACCTAGAAATGTTCTTTACAGATTTCATCTTTATTTGTAAGTCAGTTTGAAGATCATCTCAGTTACATACATAACCCTCATTCCCTGATGGAGTGAACAGAGATGTTATGTCGCGACAATATTGAGGGTCTTACTTGGGAGCCCCAATCATCTCTGAGTTTAAGGGAAAAGGCCAATGAGAATTGGTGAGTGGATTTTGCATGCCAAGCCACTCATCCGTACATATGGGTATATAAGATGGCGGCGTGCATCCACTCATTCAGGTTTATGCTGAGGGGCTGAGACTGTGTCCCAGCACTCAGCGAGTGGTTCAGGGTTGTGGCAAGGGAACATAACGTCTCCATTACATCCATCAGGGAACGAGGGTTACGTACATAACTGAGATGTTCCCTATCTGTCGGTAACTACGAGTTATGTGGTGACGACTTCAGGGGTCCCTATAGAAAGCACCACAACCACTGAATGTTGTTATAACTTGTGGAATTGCAAATGCTGACAAGCCATCGCATGTCAAGGCAAATGTAAACGTAAAAGTCGTAACCTTCCCAACAGCCCAGAGCAAATTCACTGAACTTGGTGCCGAGAGGAGCTAATGGTGAGTACATCGCTGCTAGAGAAGGCTATGCTGCTGTTCCGTCCGCAGAAATTCTTTAATAGAAGTAATTTAAACTTCTGGAAAAAGACTTGAATGGCACTGCAAGCATGACACAGAGCCAGTTCTCCCCACCACTTACCTATTACCCACCACACGGGAAGAGGCCAGCTCTACGCAAAGGTTGTAGAACCACGCAAATGTGTTAGGTGTCCCTCAGCCTGCAGCTCTGCATATTTCTGCTAGAGTGAGCCCAGGAGGAGGCTACACTCCGGTTGGAATGAGTCCTCACCCCCAGAGGGCATGGCTACCTTGAGATTGGTATGCCAAGGCGATGACATCCACTATCCAGTGAGCCAACCTCTGCTTGGAGTCAGCTTTTCCCCTTCTGCTGGCCACTATAACAGACAAAGAGCTGCTCAGAGCTTTTGACGCTCCTGGTGCGGTCCACATAATTGTGCAAGGTGCATACGAGACACAGCAATATCAAGGCTGGATCTGCCTTCTCCGGGGGCAGTGCTTGAAGGCACACCAATTTGTCCCAGAAGGGAGTATTGGGAACCTTGGCCAAGTATCCAGGCTAGGGACTCAGGACAACATGAGAGTAGGCTGGCTCGAACACTAGGAACTCTCCACTTCAGTGGCTCAAAGGGATCCCTCTCGCCAGGACAACAGAGTCCTGCCAGGACAACAGAGAGATCCAAGAAGGGCATGAGGGGTGGCCTAGGAGGGATTAACCGCCAGGCACCCCTCAGGAAACTGATGATCAGGTCGTGCTTTTCCAGTGACCGGCCATTCACTGCCTAGTGATGTGCTGCGATAGCAGTGACTTACATATTCAAGGTGGAGGGTGACATCCTACGCTCCAACCTTCCTTGCAGGAAAGAAAGCACAACTCTGATCGGGCACCTTCAGAGGGTCTTCTCGTCGAGAAGAACACCAGTCAGTGAACAAACTCCAACTTCAAGGCATAAACTCGCATGGTAGAAGGAGCTCTGGCTTGAGTGATAGTGTCTACCACCGGCGGTGGCAGATCATTTAAGTCTGCTATGTCCCTTCCAGGAACCACACGTGGAGTTTCCAGAGGTCTGGACGTGGGTGCCATATGGTGCCCTGCTCCTGGTAAAGAAGGTCCTTTCTCAGGGGGATCTGCCAGGGAGGGGCTGTTGCAAGGAGCATGAGTTCCGAAAACCAGGCCTGGGTGGGCCAGTGAGGCGCAACCAACAGGACCTGTTCCTCGTCCTCCCTGACCTTGCACAGCCATGAGCACTCAGGGCTGGGCGGTAGGAGTGGGAATCACCAGAGGCCTCACGGTACGATATTATCGCGATTCTTGTGTCACGATACAATATTATTGTGATTTTAAATATATTGCGATATTCTGCGATATGTTGCAATTTATTACCTTTTTCCAACTTCAAATTATGTCCCCAAAGGAAAGCTTTGACAACATCTGTTTTAACTAAAAAGAAACATTTCTCAGTATGTTTATCTCACTTCAGTTTTATTGTTGCAGTGCAAAATGGGATTGTCAAGCAGACAAACTGACCAACACTTTCATGAAAACCTGTCATAAATGTTGTATGCACCTGGCAAACGCAACTATTTGTATTACAGTCTAATCTAGTCCACCTTAATTAAATGTAAACAGGTATGCCCTGCTGTGCTACTACAGGTATTTTGAACAGTGCAACTTGAAATTGTACTAAAAAGATGTGCAGACCCTTCCGCAATTGGGGCATGTGAAAGTAAATTACTGTTACATTTAAATTAAATAAAACATGTAGTCTTACATCTAGGGATGCACCGAAATGAAAATTCTGGGCCGAAACGGAAACCAAAAATTCTGGATGCACTTGGCCAGAAACAGAAACTGCTTTGTAATGATTATTTATTAAATAATATAAAGTAATTTTGTAAGACTTTTTAAATTT